CCAATAACCTATTATATAATTTAATCTCATTTCTAGATGCTGCGCAATACAACCACGTAGTGAATACTAAAAACAAAATACTTGATTTATGCATATCAAACCGCTCGTGTAAAGTATTGGCCGCGTTGAGTCCCCTACTTCCTATTGACGCATATCATCCACCCTTTATCTGTGAAATAGCTCTCTATGTTGATATTGTTCCAATGAAAAGGCGGACGCTTCAGAGGTATAATTTTTATAAGTCCGACTATACGCACATCAACCGTAAAATACAGTCCACTAACTGGGATGAAATACTTACTCCCATGGGATCTGAAGAAGCACTTAGCGTATTTTATGGAATAATTGACGAAATTATCAAGCAACATACGCCGTTGGTTGGCTCCAGAACTTCTGCTTTTCCGATCTGGTTTTCGAAATCTTTAATTAGCACATTTAGAAAAAAACGTAAAGCGTGGGTGAAATGGAAGAAATATAACAACATGTCAGACTATGAGATATTTTCCCAGTATAGAACGTTATTTAAGGATATGTGTAATAAATGTTTTTCTAGATATATTGGATCTGTCGAGGATAGCATACGCAAAAATATTAAGGATTTCTGGGTATACATTTCTAATCGTCGTGACAAACCTGGAATACCGGCTAAGGTTGAATATAATGATGATGTTGCAAGTGATCCACAGACAATATGCAACATGTTTTCTGAATTTTTCTCTTCCGTTTATGAACCGCCCTCACCTACACTATCACAATGGAGGCCACCTGCCGATTCAGCATCCCATGATACCACTATTACTGACCTTCATTTTGAAGTAGAAAAGGTATTAAGAGAGCTGAAATCTCTGGATCCATCTAAGGGGCCAGGCCCTGATGGCCTATCTGCTTATTTTCTAAGAAACACCGCCTCTGTTATATGTAAACCCCTAACCATCATCTATAATAAATGCATTACTGAAGGTGTTATGCCAACAGTATGGAAACATGCTTACATCACACCTGTACACAAGAGCGGATCTAAACGTAGTGTAGATCAATATCGCCCGATATCAATTTTATCCACCTTGTCGAAGCTCTTCGAGAGACTTGTGCATAACGAAATATATCCCATACTGCATAATATTATTATTCAGCAACAGCATTGTTTCGTTAAACGTCGATCAACAGCCACCAATCTACTATTATTTTCCAGCTTTTTATTCGAAAATATTGATAATCGCGTACAGGTTGATGCAGTATATACAGACTTTCGAAAGGCTTTCGATAAGGTGGACCACGAAATGTTACTAAATCGAATAGCTTACAATGTCATTCGGGGTAATCTTTTACGATGGTTTATTTCTTATATCACTAACCGTTGTCAAAGGGTTGTAATCAATGGATACCACTCTAACGTTACGATGGTTACCTCCGGTGTACCTCAAGGATCTATTCTCGGTCCTCTGTTGTTTGTAATGTTTATCAATGACATAAGTACCTGTTTTCTCAATTCTAAATTTCTATTATATGCAGATGATCTTAAAGTTTATAAATCTATCCATACTACACAAGACTGCATTCTTCTCCAAGAGGACCTGGATAGACTGACAGACTATTGTTACAAAAGTAAACTTCAGTTAAGTATTCCGAAGTGTAAATATCTCAGTATTACTAAAAACAAGAATATTATAAAATTTTCGTACTCACTGTGTAACATTCCTTTGGCTAAAGTGGATTCTACGCGAGACCTTGGTATATTGTTTGATTCAAAACTGTGCTTAGACTTACATATTGAACAAATTGTAAACAAAGCATACAAATTATATGGATTTATTATGAGATTAACTCGCGACTTCAAACGGACCTCTTCATATCTTTGTTTATATAAAACCCTAGTTCGCTCTCAACTTGAGTATGCTGTGCCTATTTGGAATCCTTACTATAATAAATATATACACAAAATTGAAAATGTTCAGCGCCGGTTTCTACGTGCAATGCATTATAGATGTCATAAATCTTATCTACCATATGACCAGTTACTCAGTAGATACAAACTTCTAACCCTCGAATCTAGACGTAAGCAATTAGAGGCTATGACACTTTTCCATATAGTAAGATGCAAGTTTTACTGTATTGAGTTAAATAATGTGTTATGTTATGCGGTCCCCAGAACTGTCCATAGACGACAGGTGCGTGCGGGTAAACTCTTTGCCGTAAGTGCCTGTCGATCCAATACCGGTATACGTTCACCGATTCGACGTATGGTTGCCACATATAATGAGACCTTCGAGCATATAGATATTTTCACATGCTCAACGGAAAGGTTTCGTGGTTTATTATATAAGACACTTTTCAAATAATAATTTGTCACCTCAGTTACATTATAATATCATTGCTGACCATACTTTGACACTTATATAATACGTTCTGTACAGCTGCAGGTCTCCTAGCGTCTTAATCATCTATCTCAAGAGGTAATCTGTGAACAGCACTGTGGGCTGCATTATTGCGTATATTAATGTTACTGTACTATCTGTATGTAATATATATAATGTAGCTGTTAGCTGTTCCACTTTGAATAAATAAAATAAAATAAAATATCAACCGATTTAAGACTTTCTTGTAGCCGTCAGTACATTTTAACAAAATGTCGATCCACAAGTATATAGACTCATTACATAAAGATGAAATCAGATATGAACTCGCCATTATTGGTATTTCCACAGATGAAAATGTAACCACCGATGCAGTGAGGAAGCAGATCCGCCAGGTGTACAAACTCGCACGCCGTGGAAGCATAAAGTGTGAACCACTCCAGTCACCCAGTATAGCCTCTGAACTAGAGATCTGCACCCCAAAGGTCGAACTTCTGGAATCCCAGCTGCAGGCGGGTAAAGTAGATGATCGCAATTTGACTCTTAAACTGTCTCGTCGTGCAAATTATTTGATGGATAGACTAGCTCGTATCTCTGAAAGTAGTTCGCATTTGTCAGATCTCCGTAGTCGTTTGATTCGCATTTTGAGTGTCATAGACGGTGAAGATAGCGACACGGATGGTGAGTAAAAGGAAACCCGGGCACAGCCGTCTAACCAGAAAGTGGAAAGTAACGTGATCTATGTGAAAGATAAACCCTTGAACCTAAATACATTTAACTTAAAATTTGACGGAACCACGTGTGTTCGTGTATTTATTGAACGTCTTGAGGAACTTAAAGAGGCTCGCAACATTACTGAAGCTCGCATACTTTCAGCTTTTTCTGATCTTTTAGAAAACTCTGCTTTATGTTGGTTTAGAAGTAATAAGGATAATATCCACTCATATTCACAATTATTGAAATGCTTAAGGGACGATTTTGATATTCCCGATTTAGACTATAAACTATTAAATGAAATAAGGCAGCGTACACAGGCCAGACACGAAACGATAGTTGTCTATCTTTCCATTATGCAGGGAATGTTCTCGCGACTCACTCAGCCGTTGTCGAGTAGACAACAACTCGAAATCTTGATGCATAACATTAGACCAGAGTACATGAAAGATTTAGCTTTACATGATATAACCTCTGTAGACAAACTTAAACTTTATTGCAAACAGTTAGAAATTGCGTGGTCGCGTGCGGAACAATTTAGTGAACCTAACTTGAATAACTTTAAAATTACAGCGGACTTAAATAAACAAACGCCGCGATCTCACAGTAAACAAGTCTCTGTGCTGAATGAAGCTGGCTCTTCGAGGCAATTGGATGGGAAATGCTTTAGGTGTGGATTAAACACTCATTTCACCAATCGATGCAATTCGAAAGAGTTAGTGTGTTTTAAGTGTGGATTAAAAGGTGTTAAGCGTTCAGATTGTAGTAATTGCAATTCAAAAAACTAGTTAACACGGAACTATCCAACACCTTTAATAAAAATAGGTCTTATACGTCCAATAATGAAGAGGTAGTTCTGTTTAAAAAAAATACTAGGGATATAAGACCATACTTAAAATTAAAAATATTGAACTTACAAGCTTTTGGCTTATTAGATTCGGGTGCAACTTGTAGCATTCTTGGAAATAATGCGCATTTGATCTTTTTAGAACACGGATTTCAACTCAACTGGTTTGACACTGAGCACTACGTAAGAACTGCTGATGGTACGAGATTGCATTGCTTAGGGTATATGTCATTACCTATTGAATTTAACAATAATTTCAGAGTGATTAACTTTTATGTTGTTGCACAAATAACTTCACCTATAATTCTAGGTGTTGATTTTTGGCAGGTGTTTGACTTAGAGAGTGACCTTGTATCCGAAGTACAGTTTGACCGAAAGTCGGAGTCATCAATATGTCATGTCATAAATTCGGTTTCTCTTAATAAAGGCCTTGAAGAATACGAGTCTTTATCCATAGAACAAAAACAAATCATGGATAAGTTAGTCCAACAGTTTGATACAATTAACACAGTTAAAGTAGGTTTGGGACGTACCAATTTAATTCATAACGTCATAGACACAGGGGATAGCAAACCTATTAAGCAAAGGTACTATCCATTATCACCTGTTAAGCAACTAGCACTTGAAAAAGAATTGGATAGAATGCTTAGTTTGGGAGTTGTGTCACCTTCACAGTCAGCTTGGAACTCACCTGTAGTAATGGTTCAGAAGCCAAATGGGGACCTAAGGCTTTGTCTAGATTGTAGAAAGTTAAATGCAGTTTCCAAACCCGATGCGTATCCTCTCCCGTATATAAGCAGCATATTGGACCAGCTCCGCGACGCGAAATACCTAACGTCAATAGATCTTTCCGCTGCATATTGGCAAATACCCTATGATAGCGAGCAATCAGCTGATAAGACCGCGTTCACAGTGCCACGTAGGGGGTTATTTAGATTCAATGTAATGTCGTTTGGTCTGGTTTCCGCGTCAAACACAATGCAGAGATTAATGGATAGGCTATTTGGTCCCGAATTTAACAACAAAGTATTCTGTTTCCAAGACGAATCATAATATCCAGCACTTTCTCAGAACATGTGCAGCTCTTGCATAAGGTCTACGCAAAACTCAGGGACGCAAACTTGACTATAAACATGGATAAGTCTATCTTTTGCCTTAGAGAACTTAAGTACTTGGGATATTTAGTTGACAAACATGGACTTAGAACTGATCCGGGAAAGGTAGATATTATATTGAATTATCCAACTCCAAATTCCGCTAAAGAGGTTAAAAGGTTTCTAGGCATGGCAGGCTGGTACAGGAGGTTCATTAACAATTTTTCGAAAATTAGTAAACCGTTGAATAAATTAACTAACAAAAATGTCCGCTTTGAATGGACTACGGAGGCAGATGAGTCATTTAACCACTTAAAAACCACTTTAGTGTCTGCTCCGATACTCAAATGTCCAAACTTTGATTTGCCTTTTTCTATCCATTGTGACGCTTCCTCACTGGATGTGGGCGGAGTCTTAACCCAGACTTATGACGGGGTAGAACATCCCATAGCATACTGCAGTCGGTCTCTTGCCAAAAATGAAATTAATTTTTCCACATCGGAGAGAGAACTTATGGCCGTGATTTACGCATTAGAGCAATTTAGATCTTATGTAGAAGGTACAAAGTGTAAAATAATAACCGACCACGCCTCGTTATTATGGTTTTATAAATTAAATAACCCATCAGGTCGCTTAGCCAGGTGGAGCATGCGATTGAGTCAATTTGATTTCGAAATAGAACACAGAAAAGGTAAATTAAATGTTCTTCCAGACGCACTAAGTAGGATTCAAGTTGATGCAATCGCTACGCCAGCAACCGGTGATGCGTGGTATAGACATGTATACGAAGATTATCAGGCCAACCCTCGCAAATATCCCCACTTCATGGTAAAAGACGATAGATTGCTTAGGTACTCTAAAAATAAATATGAGTTAACGAATGAGTTTAATTGGAAGTTAGTGGTACCCGAGGAAGACAGGTTAGATATTTTAAAGAAATGTCATGATGAACCAGTTAGTGCTCTTTTGGGTGTCTTTAAAACCCACAAGCGTCTTAGTCTTAATTATTACTGGCCCAGCATGTACCGAGATGTGAAAGAATATGTTAAAAAATGCGAGATATGTAAACAATACAAACCCGTCAACACGGCTATACCTGGTTTAATGGGAAACCCGAAGGAGGTTAACAAACCCTGGGTGGCCATATGTTGCGATTTGCTAGGCCCATTTCCGGTTTCTCGCAATAGGAATATTCACTTAATTGTATGTACAGACTATTTTAGCAAGTATGTCATGTTGCATCCTATACGGATCGCAACAGGCGCTGCGGTCGCTAAGTTCATAGAAGAGAAAGTGTTCCTAGTACATGGCGTATGTAAGACTATCTATATTGACAATGGCCCACAGTATGTGTCTAATCAGTTTAGGCAACTTTTACATAAATATAACGTACCGAATATCTATTATAACCCGCGTTATCACCCACAGGTAAATCAAGCCGAAAGAGCGATTAGGAACGTAGTTAACGGTATATCATGTTATGTAGGTACCGAGCATAAACGATGGGACGAGAACATCCCACAGTTGCAATGCGCACTTAATTCAGCTGTGAGAGATACCACTAAGTTTACTCCGTATTTTCTTGTGCACGGACGGGAATTCATAATAGATGGAATGTTACACAGCTTAGATAGCCCTCAGCCAGTTCAAAGATCACAAGTAACTCTCGGTGAACCACAAGCATACAGTAAAAAATTAGCGGAATCAGACACCATATTTAAAAAGGTACAAAAGCATATTAAAAATGCTCATTCTAGAAATGAAAAGTACTATAACTTAAGAAAACGACATGTTGAGTTAAAAGTAGGTCAGATTGTATATAAACGTACCCATTACCTATCTAATGCCTCAAAGAGATTTACGGCTAAACTAGCACCAAAATTTCAAAAATGTGTCATAACAGCGAAATTATCACCTTTAGTGTATACCTTAGCCAGCATGGAAGGTAAGACACTAGGTAATTTTCACATAAAAGACATCCTTAAACAAGATGACTAATAGTTTTGTAGAATGTGAGTGATGAGTATGATTGAGTGAAAGAATGTAAGAATAATAAACATTTTCAAAATTCATTTCCACCGGTGAACTTTCTGAGATAAATAAGCTGTGATTGTAATGATGAACGAGCGATACATAACTAGTAGGTCATCTTATGTTGTGAACATCGGCGCGAGTTAGATAAGAATTTGTTCTTTATGTCCGCACTCTGGACATTATATAAGAAAATGCATACCAGCCAGTGCGTAGCATTACTTAAGCTGTTTCTTTTAACTTAATATGATTAAACGTTAATTCACTTAACTTAATGCGAGATAGATATTTAACTTAACTTAATACTTAATATGATTTCCAAATCACTTAACTACTCAACTTAATAAATAAGAACACGTTCGTTTTTCGACTACTTAGAGAAAAGTCGAGTCGAAACGTAAACATCGTGTGTAGGCTTAGTGCACTGTAGGTATTCGTTTCTGTCCCGTGATGTTACGTCACGCACCGCATGAATGGTAATAGACTATTCGCGCGTAGCATTCGGGAACGTAATTATTCATAGGCGGTTGTATTTCATTATTATAAAAACATGTAGGAATAAATGTAAATAAAGTTGCATGCCATTAGGTTAATATAGGTATAACAATTAGTGTAGTATTTTCTAACTTACAACACAAGTAGGTAAATTTGTGGTAGTGTTTTTTTTTGTGTTAACAACACAAGTAGGTAATTACATTTTGAGGTTAAATTGTTTAGTGGAATATAATGTTACTAGGTATACAGATACAGAAATGAAAATTAGGTAATAAGTAGAGTAATAATGAGCCTTGTGTAAGATTAAACGTCGTAATTAAGTGATTAAGTGATGGCTTGGTACTTGTTAGTTGTTGGTGCATGGGTGACTTGGGATTTACTATCCGTGCGAATTTTTTTAGCCAGATTGGATTAGAGACGCATTACAACTTCTTCACTGTCTTTGGTATTCAGTCGTTGTTCTGCAGGTGGCACGAAATGTCTTCGGAAAAAGTATCTTCATTACGAAGAACTTTTTAACCCAAGCAAAGGGGATGTGTAACACGAAAATTTTCGTGTACATTATTTTAGCATATTTACGTTATTCCATGCGATGAACAGACTTCAGAACGCCATCTAACGTCATTAGTCCAAAGTAACTAGAAACGTATATTGACGAATCGAGCTAGCTAATTGCATGCAATTGACCTTTCGTGTTAGTTCGAAATCCTACCACGGATCGACGGTGGCGTGTAGCCCAAGGGAGGCCTAGTTCTTTTTGGAGCGAGCCGTTGTAATGATCGGACACGCACATATATAATTTTTGAATCGAAACGCCGGAACATGAATTTAAAGTGACGACTACTTGGGCGTACGGCCCCTTAAACACAATGTCTACGGGCAGTTTAATGTGTTGAAACACATCATCCCATAAATTGGGTCCTTAGTCCTTAGTACTTAGTCCTTAGTCCTTAGTCCGTACTTTGAGTATGGTCCATTATCAAGTTCAACAATGTGAACGAGGCGAGGCAGCTTCAACGGGTGGCTATATTCGGACTGGGCGGCCAGGAGACCGCGACCGGCGTACACCTGGAGGATATCTGTTGCCTCACTGCTTCGCGGGATTGACCATAAACACTGTAATATTGTGTAATCCACCAGGTTAGTCAAAACCTCAGTTCGTAGGGTATTTTAAAGTGAAAACTTGATATTTGGAGCTATACATGTGAACCGTAGAAGGAAATAAACTACTTTTTGTCTGTATATGTAACTTAGCATTTTCATTTACTAATCATCCAACAACAGGCGCCCTGGGATACTTTTATTTTGATCCTCGAGTCCCTTAACTCTCCGACAACCGTAGCCGGTGAGTAACGCCCTAAAAAGTGTTATAACCCAAGGTTGATACTTCTAATCTTATGCAAGGATATCGATTATGCGTTTACTAATTCGCATAGTCAGCAAGAAGCGTACTGGACAGTACATTCAAGTTATGTTCTTATAAACACCTACTTGTATAACCAACACGAATAATTTGTTCGAGAATAAGATGGATAAAAAAATTGTGAGCCGTCGCGAGACGGCTGGCAGATGTGAAATATCGAAATTATTTTGTATAGGTAATATGCATAAAAGTATAGTTTACTACAGGTAATAAATATGGCATGATAAAAAACAAAATATTAAGATTATTTTTTTTTCAAGAAAAAGATGACTGTTTATTTGTTTAAAATTTAAATAATGTTAGATTATTTCTTATTAGAATGCAAATTATTCTGGGCTAAGCGGATTCAAACCAACGATTTTTTTGAGATCGCTATACTATGTTATGAGGCTTCTGTCGCTTAAATCATATACAGTTTAATCATTTATTTATTTAAAATCATTATTGCGCTTAAAGCGTGCTGTTGGCAGAAATAATTTCCTGGCTACCATGCCAGGGATAGGGACAATTTGTTAAATACGCTGTATTCCTTACTTGAAACTCGCTATCTTTTAGGCTGATGTTTTATAGTAAAAAAATTGTAATTTGAACATAGGTTCCTCTGATGATCTAGTTGTTTATTTTATTTTATTTATATATATATATATATATATATATATATATATATAATATATAAATAATATAAAAGAAACCAACATGATATTGCACAAAGAAAAAACGTTTACAATTTTAATTGATTAATCTAAGTAAGCCTATGATATGTACTAAACATATCATACTTAAAGGCTTACTTAACATGTTAAAGTAAAATAATAAGTAACGCACATTAATGTTGATAAGCGAAGAAAGGATAACAAAATAACCTATTTTCAAGCATAAAACCCAAAAATATTGCAACAACAACTCATGAGGTCATCTTAATTTTGTTAGAAAAATGTTATTTAATTTAATTTTTAAAAGTGGTATAAGATCGTTGAATAAGTCAAGATCGACTTATTTAGAAATTACATTATAAGTTTTAAGGTTCTATTAATTGGAGTTGACAATCCGACATTTGTTTGACGACTATGCCGTTCACCTCTGCAACATAAATTTGCTTTGTCACTCTTTCCTCATTCATTCTTTCTACATGGCCAAACCACCGAAGCATTCCTTTCTTAATCCTGGTCACAACATCATTTTGCAAACCACACTCTTCTCTTATTAAACAATTTCTCACTCTGTCATTCAGATTCATCCCTACCATACTCCTTAATTACCGCATTTCTACAGCATTTATTCTACTCTCGTGCTTCTTCTGCCAAACCCAACTTTCACTACCATACATTAAAGTAGGCACTAACACAGCATTGTGAATTGCCATACGTGCCTTTTTGAACACATTCTGACTTTTCACAATAGAGTGTAGAGCCCCATTCACTCTATTTCCTGCATTCACTCGTCGTTCTATATCCTTATCATATCTACCATCCCTGCTAAACCCACATCCCAAATATACAAACTCATCTACTTGCTCTACCAACTCCCCTTCTATTCTTATTTCACATATCGTTTTACTTTCTTCTCGTTCAAAAACCATAACTTTCGTCTTACTTGCGTTCACTTTCATTCCCTTTTCTTTTAATGTCCTGTTCATTAATGTAACCATCATTTGCAACTCGGCTACCGACGTCGCAAGTATGACTTGATCATCGGCGTACAAAAGGCATTTGACGGTTAACTCACCCATTCTTAACCCGCATTCTTCTACTTTCAAATTTTCCAAACAACTGTCCATAAATAGGTTGAACAACCACGGGGAAGCCACACAGCCCTGTCTGACACCTTTATGGATGCCAAACCAGTCCGAGTAAGCCCCGTTGATCCTGACACAAGCACTAGAGTCCCTATATAGAGACTTCAATGCCTGTATCAGACCAGCGATCAACCCAAATGAGTTCAGTGTTTGCCATAACACATCCCTGTCCACTCTGTCATAAGCCTTCTCCAAGTCCATGAACGCACAAAAAACTTTTTGGTTTTTGGCCGAAAACTTCTCCGCGATCATGCGCATGGAAAAGACCTGATCCGTACATCCCATTCCCTTTCTAAATCCCGCTTGCACATCCCAAATTTTTCCGTTAGTTTCTTTCATAACTCTTTCAATTAGTACCTTAGCATACAATTTTCCCACAATGCTAAGAAGGCTGATACCACGGTAGTTTTTACAGTCCTGCTGTGATCCTTTTCCCTTATATATTGGGACTATTACGGATTTGCACCAGTCTCCCGGTACCCGCTTAAGTTCCCAACTTAAATTAAACAAGGTGTACAGCAGGTATGCCACCACTCCTTCTCCAGCCCTTAGCATTTCGAGAGATACTCTATCATAACCGGCTGCCTTACCTGCTTTTATACTTTTCATTGCTTTCATTATTTCATCTATACTTATATCTCTATCTATTTCCTCTTCTTTCGGAATTTCTATTTCATTTAATTCAAACGTCTCATCACTCATAAACACGCTTTCAAAGTATTCCTTCCATCTCCTTAAACTCAAAATTTTGTCATTCAGAATAGAGCCATTCTGGTTACGTATAATATTCATTCTAGGCTGATTTGAATGTCCCCTGGTAGTTCTTACGACTTTTCAGAACATTTTAATGTTTGCCTTGAAGTTATCCGATATTCTTCTATCATTCTTATCCGTTCTTTCTTGCTTTTTCCTTTCAACTACTTCTTTTACTTTCTTATTTAGGTGTCTAAAAACTGCCTTTTTCCTTTCAATATCATCATTCATACTGCTAGAATTACTAGCCTTGGTTGCTAGTAAATCTAGCCATGCTTTCTTCTTTGCTTCAACTTCCATCCGTACCTCATCATCCCACCATAACGTGTTATTTTTCCTTTCATTCGTTCTCTTACTTACACCACATACTTCGGTAGCTGCATCCACTAAACCTTTCTTGACGTTATACCACACAGTCTCCAAGTCTAAATCATTCATACACAATTCAGCCATACCACTTATATTTTCTCTCAAACTACATTTGAACTTCTCTTTCACACCTTCATCTTGTAACCTCTCTGTTCTTATACGGTGTAACGCAGTGGTAGACACAGATGTCCGATGCCTCCAACGTCTGAAAAGACCATTAATTCGGCATTAGACCAAGTAATGATCCGTCCCTACGTTAGAGCCCCGGTAAACCCTTGTATCTACCACCGCGCTCCTCATTCTTTCATCAACAACTATGAAATCTATCATACTTCTATCATCACCTCTTTCCCATGTATACGTGTGAATCTTCTTATGACGAAAGAAAGTGTTCGTCACAAAAAGATTCTTTTCCACGCATACGGCGAGAAGGCTTTCACCATTCTCATTTATACTTTCATCACCAAACGTTCCCAATATCCTTTCATAACCAAGCCTCCTCACCCCAACACTTCCATTAAAATCGCCTAATATCACAATATTTTCATTAAGTTTGCATTTCATTAGCACCATCCTTACCAACTCCCAAAACTGCCCTCGGATATAAGTGGGCTTAGACATATCTGGGGCGTAGACCCCTAAAAGAAACAACTTCTTTAAGCCCACTTTCATTCGTATCCATAGCAGTCTCGGGCTTATACATTCATACTCTTTCACACAGTGACCCATTCTTTCTGAAAGGATGACACCGACTCCCTGGCATGCCCGCTCGGTCTCGTCTACACCAGACCAGTACGCGGTATACATGCCATGTGTAGTGGCATCCTTTCCCTTCCGTTTCGTCTCATTTACACATAACACGTCTATTCCTATATCATACATCATATCGCATACTTCATCCATCTTATCATTCATTCCTCCACATACATTCAATGTAGCCAGACGGGCTTCCGCAATCCACTTTTCGCCCCTCCGGGGGACAGAACGTGACGGGTGGCGAAACTCGTCGCCGGTTTTCCTCCCGGAGATTCTTCGCACCCCTGCCCCATTAAAGGGACGCCGGGAACTCGGTGCCATTTCGTTAATTTTTTAATTTCGTTAATGATTTAGACTTGGAGACTGTGTGGTATAACGTCAAGAAAGGTTTAGTGGATGCAGCTACCGAAGTATGTGGTGTAAGTAAGAGAACGAATGAAAGGAAAAATAACACGTTATGGTGGGATGATGAGGTACGGATGGAAGTTGAAGCAAAGAAGAAAGCATGGCTAGATTTACTAGCAACCAAGGCTAGTAATTCTAGCAGTATGAATGATGATATTGAAAGGAAAAAGGCAGTTTTTAGACACCTAAATAAGAGAGTAAAAGAAGTAGTTGAAAGGAAAAAGCAAGAAAGAACGGATAAGAATGATAGAAGAATATCGGATAACTTTAAGGCAAACATTAAAATGTTCTGAAAAGTCGTAAGAACTACCAGGGGACATTCAAATCAGCCTAGAATGAATATTATACGAAACCAGAATGGCTCTATTCTGAATGACAAAATTTTGAGTTTAAGGAGATGGAAGGAATACTTTGAAAGCGTGTTTATGAGTGATGAGACGTTTGAATTAAATGAAATAGAAATTCCGAAAGAAGAGGAAATAGATAGAGATATAAGTATAGATGAAATAATGAAAGCAATGAAAAGTATAAAAGCAGGTAAGGCAGCCGGTTATGATAGAGTATCTCTCGAAATGCTAAGGGCTGGAGAAGGAGTGGTGGCATACCTGCTGTACACCTTGTTTAATTTAAGTTGGGAACTTAAGCGGGTACCGGGAGACTGGTGCAAATCCGTAATAGTCCCAATATATAAGGGAAAAGGATCACAGCAGGACTGTAAAAACTACCGTGGTATCAGCCTTCTTAGCATTGTGGGAAAATTGTATGCTAAGGTACTAATTGAAAGAGTTATGAAAGAAACTAACGGAAAAATTTGGGATGTGCAAGCGGGATTTAGAAAGGGAATGGGATGTACGGATCAGGTCTTTTTCATGCGCATGATCGCTGAGAAGTTTTCGGCCAAAAACCAAAAAGTTTTTTGTGCGTTCATGGACTTGGAGAAGGCTTATGACAGAGTGGACAGGGATGTGTTATGGCAAACACTGAACTCATTTGGGTTGATCGCTGGTCTGATACAGGCATTGAAGTCTCTATATAGGGACTCTAGTGCTTGTGTCGGGATCAACGGGGCCTACTCGGACTGGTTTGGCATCCATAAAGGTGTCAGACAGGGCTGTGTGGCTTCCCCGTGGTTGTTCAACCTATTTATGGACAGTTGTTTGGAAAATTTGAAAGTAGAAGAATGCGGGTTAAGAATGGGTGAGTTAACCGTCAAATGCCTTTTGTACGCCGATGATCAAGTCATACTTGCGACGTCGGCAGCCGAGTTGCAAATGATGGTTACATTAATGAACAGGACATTAAAAGAAAAGGGAATGAAAGTGAACGCAAGTAAGACGAAAGTTATGGTTTTTGAACGAGAAGAAAGTAAAACGATATGTGAAATAAGAATAGAAGGGGAGTTGGTAGAGCAAGTTGAGTTTGTATATTTGAGTTTGTATATTTGGGATGTGTGTTTAGCAGGGATGGTAGATATGATAAGGATATAGAACGACGAGTGAATGCAGGAAATAGAGTGAATGGGGCTCTACACTCTATTGTGAAAAGTCAGAATGTGTTCAAAAAGGCACGTATGGCAATTCACAATGCTGTGTTAGTGCCTACTTTAATGTATGGTAGTGAAAGTTGGGTTTGGCAGAAGAAGCACGAGAGTAGAATAAATGCTGTAGAAATGCGGTAATTAAGGAGTATGGTAGGGATGAATCTGAATGACAGAGTGAGAAATTGTTTAATAAGAGAAGAGTGTGGTTTGCAAAATGATGTTGTGACCAGGATTAAGAAAGGAATGCTTCGGTGGTTTGGTCATGTAGAAAGAATGAATGAGGAAAGAGTGACAAAGCAAATTTATGTTGCAGAGGTGAACGGCAAAGTCGGGAAGGGTCGCCCTAGGCGAAAGTTTATCAACCAAATTGGCGATATATTAAAAATGGGCCAAATCAACCGTACCTATAACTGACGAGCGTGTATGCGTAGGTATATGGATGTGGAGGAAGCGAGAGAGGTGTGTCGGGATCGTGCCAAATGGAAGTCCATAATCTCTGCCTACCCCTCTGGGTGACAGGCGTGAGTGTTTATATATATGATTTCTTATTCTAGAATTAGATCTAAGAAAAACATATGATACTTTACTTAAAAGATTATTCGAATTAATTTTATTGTTAATGATTTTGTGTAACAAGCACAAGTCCATAAACGCTCTTCGATCATTTAATGAAAGCATATTATAGTTATCTAGTATTTTAATGTAAGTTAATTGCCTGTGTATTTTGTTATTACTGAAATAAATGTACTTAAGGAATTTCCTTTGCACTCGTTATAAACTATTTATATGTGTTTGATAATATAAATTTCAATGAATTTCTTATAATTTGATCTATATGTGCAGTGAAACTTAATTTACAATCAAAAATATCTAAATCACGAATAATATTTGCCTTTTTATGACAAAGCCACTAATATTATAATTATTACAAATCGGAAGGGCTTTTTCTGCCGACTTTCAAATGGAGACGGTACTCAATTCGACTGTATGTTTTTTTTATGTGTGTTAACTCATAACTTTTTACTGGGTGAACCGATTTGGATGATTCTTTTTTTATTTGAAAGCTGATACTTCTCTTGTAGTTCCATATGAATTTAATCAAGGCCAGACCAATAGTTTTTGAGTTATTCTTAATAACTCATATTGAAGTCGGCTGTACAAAATTTTTAATTTTAAATTATAATTAAGAGAATTTCCTTATTATCAAAAGATATTTAGTAACATATTTCACGATTAAGGATTACATTATTAAGCTCATATCAGGAGATTATCCTATTAATATCATTTTGTAGTAAGTTTCCATCATTAACGGTTTTTATTTCTTTATAAAATTTTAAATCATCTGCAAAGAGAAGAACATCACTGTTCAGGAAACAATTTACTAAATCATTTATAAAAATGTTGAATAGTTTAAGTTTGAAAAGTTGGTCCCAAGTGTGAGCCCTGTGGCACTCCTGAACATGCTATGAATGCCTCAGATTGAAATCCATTTATTACAACCTTCAGCTTTCTGTTGTTTAGGTAAGAAAACACACATTTTAAAAAGGAGCTGTTGAATCCATAACATTCAAGCTTTTTTATTAGTATGAAATAATTAACGAAGTTAAACGCTTTTGACAATTCTGTATAAATTGCGTTAACTTGAAAGTTATTGACCATAGACACACATAATTTATCAATATATATACAAAGGTCTGACGTAGTGGACCTGCCTCTCAAAAATCCATGCTGCCTATTAGTTAGTATTGATTTCATGTGCCAATTTATAATTGGACAGATTATAGCCTCAAACACCTTTGGTAACACGGGAAACGAACCTTTGGCAACGGGCCTGTATTTTGTATATCAGCCCTATCTCTACTTTTAAAAACAGACACAACTCTCTCCTCCTTCCAAGCGCTTGGAAATATCCCTCGTTCAAGGAAGATTTATATATGGTATTTAAGGGGCTTATTCTTGTTTGTTCTGACTTTAAGATATAATTAGTATGTCGGTGGTCTGAAAACTAACAAAGATACAAAACATTTTTTCCGAAATTTATTTTTATTTTTATACATAGTCTCCTTGTAACTCTACACACTTCTCCCAACGATGCTCCCATCTCTCTAACCTGTACAAATAGTACTTGGCGTTTTTCTATGCAAAATAAATGTTCACAAAAGGTTGAGCCTTCTCATTTGACGTAAATGTGTGTCCTCCGAGCGCAATTTTTAGACGAGGGAACAATATTGAATGAGGCTAGATCTGGTGAGTAATGTGGATGGTGAAGCAGTTTAAACCGTAATTCGTGGATTTTCGCCATGGTTACGTCTGAGGTGTAAGACGGCGCATTCTCATGATGAAACAGAATTTTCTTTTTCTGCAAATGTGACCGTTTTTTGCGCAATATTTTCCTTAAGTTTGTTAAGTAACCATGCGTAATTTTTTTTTTTTTATAGGATAAGGGTGACAAACGAGCACACAGTCCACCTGATGGTAAGTGGTTGCTGTGGCCCATAGACAACTACACCTATCTTCGATTAAGAATCAAAATGCAGATGCGTTGTCACCCGTGAGGACTAAGATGGAATGCCTCGTTTCCAGTAAAAAGGGTCTCCGGTTCTCTACACTCACCATACGAAACACAGCAGTGTTAAGCTGCTATTTTACGTTGGTATTCTGTGAGAGCGTGGTCCTTCCCCGGTCGAGCCGACCCATTCGTGCTACAACCATAATATAGCTGCAGCATGGCTCTACCACGTATAATATGCTTATGCCACGTATAATGGTTGGAATGGAAATGTTTGATGATAATCGATTAATATAATTGCATGACTATCCCAAGAAGCAGTCGCCATCACATTCCTAGCCGAAAATTCAAGGTTTTTTGGAGCCAGTTCCCCGTGACAGTACACTATTTTACTGTATTTTTGTTTAAAGTGTATAGTGGTGTGATCAAGTTTCATCTAAAGTAATTAATCGGCACCAAAACTTGGATTTATTGCACCTAAACTGCGCCAACATAGCGTTGGAAATGTTCATTCGAACACATTTTTGGTCTAACGTGAGCAAACCCAACGCACTGACAGCTTTCTCATGTCTAAATCTTGATTTAATATGTGAAAATCACGTTCTTTGGATTCTTTCATAGCCTCTGGTGCAGATTCCCCATACACAAAGTCCAACTCTTCTTTGATTTGCGTAGGCGTATTGCCTTTCAAAAACAATAATTTAATGACAGTTCGATACCCAACATTTTCCATTTTCACAAAAACACTCACATCAACACACTCAAACGACTGTCAAATAACAACTACGCGTCTAAAATGGTTGAATTTTTGGTGCGTAACTGTCAAAAGATGTACAACTACATTCACTAGCATTTATTGTCAAGTGCTGCTATGTTCGGGTCGGAGGTCGGAAACTTTTCAGACCACCTTGCAATTGTTAACGTGGTAATGCTATGCTACTAATGGTACAGCCAAGCTGCACGAATGGGTCGCTTCGACAGATGAAAAACCACGCTTTCATAGATTACCAGCGTGAAATAGCAGGTTAACGTTGCAGGGTTTCGTATGTTGAGTGTAGAGAAATGGCAACCATTTTTACGCGAATCAACGCTTTCCATCTTTTTTTTTATAGGATAGGGTGACAAACTAGGATACAGTCCACCTGATGGTAAGTGGTTTCTGTGGTTCATAGACATCTACATTTATCCTCGTTTGCGAATCAAAATGCAGATGCGTTGTCACCCGTGAGGACTAAGATGGAATGCCTCTTTTCCAGTAAAAATGGTCTCCAGTTCTCTACACTCACCATACGAAACACAGCAGTGCTAAGCTGCAATTTACGCTGGTATTCTGTGAGACCGTGGTCCATCCGCGGTCGAGCCGACCCATTCGTGCTACAACTATACTACTAATATAGCTGCAGCATGGCTCTACCACGTTAAACAATTTTTTTGAAGAAACAGCAGTTTACAATAATTTAATCTATACATATAATAAATCTGTAGAAAAGTCGTGTCTGTAATTCTAATATATTCTTGAAAAAACAATTCCAGTGGACTAAATAAAGGGTTCTGAACCCAAATCAGTGGTTTTTAGAATTTTTGTCTGTCTGTCTGTCTGTCTGTCTGTCTGTCTTTCTGTCTGTCTGTCTGTCTGTCTGTCTGTGTATTCCGGATTCACGCAAAAACTACTAGACCGATTTACATGAAATTTTGTATATAGGTTAGTTAGTAACCCGGGGCAACTTATAGGCTACTTTTTATCTGATTACGGAGCTTCAAAAAAGAAGGTTAAGTATTTTCCTTCCTTTAGATGTTGATTTTCTATTATATCTTAGTTATAGATGGATGACGAGTGTTTTTCAAATAAATACCATATTTATAAATAAAGTATAAAATGTTGTTATAAACTTGGTAAAATAATTTGAAATTACACCGATTTAGTTATGAAAACAGCGCCATCTATCATTAAATGGAAAAAGTAGTATATTTTGCCTTCAGTTACTAATAAATTAAATAATATAAGTAATTTACATCTATAATATGTTTAAATAATAAAAATTTTAAAATTATTTAAAAACTGTAACGTTTAGTTTCTTTTGTATTTTTGTTATTTTATTTTCAAGTGTAAAAATTTCAATAGAGGATCAATCAAAAATATGAAAATTGATAAGGTTTTATTTCAATTACTAATCTATATGTAAACTGATTAAAACTGGTCTGTCTGCAATTATTGCAAAATTTTCATTATCATTATAGTTTTATTAAAGAGTTTTTTTATATATGTCGTGGCTAGATCGTAGAATAGATCATATAAAGTAGTCTATCATTTCGTGGAATGGTGTGGTCATTTCATGATATTTAACACTATTTGTTGTCCCTCTCATGATATAGCTTGACCAAATCAATGAATAGAAATCGTTTGAAGATATTACTAACTAGAAACGTTGCTATTTCATCATATGGTCATATGACGATATCATTAAATAGTTTTTCACCGCTACCGCCGCTGATAGCGTATATTTTTAACAGAAACAGAACTTTTAACAGAATTGTCATCACTTTATGCCTTCTTGATAAAATAAATAAATGACTTCTATTGCTGATATTATTAGATAATATAGTTTTGGCTTTCATTATTTAATCTAATAATATGAGTAGCGCCATCTACTTACCACTAAACAAACTAAAATGGTAAGTATCTGATATAATTAAATAATACAATGCTTCTGAATATACGATGTAAATAATTGAAAATTCGTTCGTGGCAACGTTGGATGTGTAATTACTAGGTAGATGTGGTCAACAATCATGCAATAGCTTAGTTTTAGTTTTAATGAAATGTATTTAAACATATATGAGGGCCGTGTAGCTCTCGCCGTGAGATTTCATCGTGGCACGGGAGCAAAACGTGTACGATGATGATTCTGTTATAGAAAACTTTACGTGCTGACTTAACACGTGTCCGTTAAAGTGGTGAAGAATAACTTCGTGGGGAAACCTAGATATCTGAGTAGTTAAAATAGTCGTGGAGATGTGAAAACCGTTAACATGACATGTTAAAACATTGCAGCGTACTCTATTTTCCTGCCCACAAAACACTATAGGTAATGAGGAGTCCTATGTACAGTAGTGAGACGTATATTAGCTGCTACTTTACTTTTTTACTTTTAATGAGATTTATAATCACTTTGTAATTTAAGTTAGCTTTCTTATTTTCGGACATATTAAGATATTTGTGACAGTCTTGGTTTCATAGCTCATATGAGTACATATTTGTAAATTAACAGGCTCTTTTTTAAAGCAAATTTTAATTAAACTGCTTTAAACAAAGGTTCTTTTTATTTTACTTGTCAAAGGCGGTAATCCAACTGATAAAAACTTAAATTTCATGGTACGTAAGCATTATTAAATATTTCAGCATATTATATATTAATTGCAATTTGAAGTGTCGATTTACCACGTTCTCGGCGGTTAAGGAAAACCTGCATATCTGAGAAGTTTCCCAGTTGAGGTCATCTTGCATTGGAATCAGCGCAGTGAACACTTTTTTTGGCCAAAAACTTTATGCGGCCATTGCCCAGTACTAACGTGTATTTGAGCTGCAACTTTTTACTTTTCATGGGGCAATATATGCATTTTTTATTATATTCATATTTTCAGGTATGTTACTTTTTGTTTTCACTCTAAAAAAAAGTCCACTGAAATAAACATAGGCCTCCCGCATAAATTGTCAAGTAGCTGGATATTTGCAATAGTTGCCACGTTTGGTAGGCGTGTTGGCAACCGCAGCTATTATTATTTTGATCTTTTGTCAGGAAGATGATGCTGCCCAATGTCAAGCCATGCCCTAGGTCATATGTCACTGCTTACGACGACGGTACGATATGAGGTGGCGGATTCTCTTTCACCGCCACAACAAGGCGAACATTTTTCTACTCCCGTTCATAAGAGTAGTGCTTCCCAGGTTCACTGTGAATAAAATTTATAAGGATTAAAACTAATTTTAAGGATCTTATCGCGTTTAATTTTAACTTTTTTAATTCCCGATGTTTTCCCGATGTTCATGGTCACGGTAGGACTGTGGTTTTCGACGACCTGATGTCACAGTTAGAATGGAATAGAATAAGAATAGAATATAATATAATAGTAATAGAATAAATGCAGGAGTATGCTTGGGTTTGAATTTTATTTTATTAACTATGCAAATGCCCTTAGCAAATCTTACCACTCAGCCATCATCCCTATTAAAATTAGCATGTGTTTTTTTTTTTTATTTCAATTGCCCCGCTAATCATCATTGGTAGGAATCGGTGTTCTATTACAAGGATTTGTATATCAGATCCGATATAATGGAATACGAATACTAAACATGTTGACATACTTTAGACTTCGAGGAGCGAGAGTGTTTCACATCAACTACCTATATGTTCTTTTACGCGGGTTTTTATGGAACTTTCATCCAAAGATGCGTAAAAAAACCTAACGTAAAAAGTTAAAATTAGACGTGATAAAATCCGTAACATTAGTTTTATTCCATGTGTAGTATACTGCATACTAAATTTTGAAGTCAACTCGTACGTAAAAAAAATATTTACATCTAATTTATGGTGCCAATCAAAATATTAAATAGGACCAATGATAGATATGAATAAAATATTTTTAATAAACATTATGCCGTAAATTGATAGAAGACCGTGAAACTCATCATTATTTTGTTAAAACTAAATTAATTTTAATAATGAATGAATGTAAAGAGTAAAATGTAAATAATAGATAATAATAAATTTTGATTACGAGACAATTTACCTTTCTTATGGATACTTCGGAAGACACACCCGATATAAAAAATAGTATGTAGACGTGTTCCTGTGGCATATTATACCTATCTATGCCAAATACCTAATCAACGTCTTTTTTTTTATAGGAGAGGGGGCAAACGAGCATGCGGCTCACCTGATGGTAAGTGACTACCGCCGCCCATGAACAACTGCAACACCAGGGGAATC